AGAGAGAGATAGAGAAAGAGGAAATTTGAAAATCTTAAGAATTCTAATGACAAAGGTATGTAAATTAAGGAGCCATTACTTCCTCGTCTTAGATAGGATGTTTATCTGGAATCAAATGCCTTCAACATCATTTGTTTCTGTAAACCTACTTGGCTGTCTTCATATAGAGGTCTAAGTGAAACCACCAAAATTATGGCTAATAAAGTATTGTTAAAATTGAACATTTTAACGTCAGTGGTATCTTCTCCTTTCAAAACAAAGGGTTTGACAAAGTAACTGAATATGTAAAGTTTGACAGACACCACTGATTGAGTCTACTTTCCTTTTCTCTGAAATATGATGGTGGAACATTTTGCATGTAAGTATGTAGGTAAAGTTTAATGGCAGCAAATCACAATCTTATGTGATAAAAATGACAAAAACATAGTTACCTGTAGGAATAAGCTAAGGAATTTATAAATTCAAAGATAAAACCTATTAGAACTTACTAGTAAAATAATATTACACTTTGAATTTGGTTAAAAGTTAACAACAATACTCCAGAAGATTTCATCTAGCTCACCAGAAGCTTCAAAGTTCAACCACACCTATGGAGAGATATTGATTGGTGTATAAGGAGTTTTCTTCTTATCCCACCTGTAAAGAGTTGATCTTGACGAGCGTCATACAGCATTCCTATAGCGAAAGGCCGACCCAGGGCAGGTACGTGCATTTGATCCGAGTCCATCTCATCAACCTGAAAGTAGTAGACAAACCTCAAAATACTTTTCAAAATTCTTTATAAAATAGGAATCTCAATAAAACTGTTTGATATGGGCGTTTTGGTGAAAGTTTCTTCCAATAACTTTTGCTTTGTTGCATTTGGATGTTTGGATGTCTCTGAAGCACTGAAGAAATCAATGTTACTGGTCAAATATGAACCATTCGGAGTTGCAGGGCATCAGAGAAAGATATGGCATTACCAGGAACAGAACCAAGCCAGAGGAGGAAGCTTTTGGTTTTTATGTCCATCACCTTTGAAACAAACTACAGTATCTGAAAACCTAAGATGTTCCAAAAACTGTTGCTTCCTTTAAATTTCAAAGAATATTTTTCTGACAAATTTTTATGAAATCAAGTACTTCTTAAGTTTTATTGTTATAAATGTAATATATTTTTGCTTGATTGTCATTTTCTTTACCATTTCTTGAATAAATGAATGACTGTTTCATGAGAGCTGAACAATAAACTTGCCTGGTCTTGGCTCAAAAACCACCTGATCAACCACAGATCATATCACAGTCCTTGTCTTTCCTCTCTTATAGTTACTTAGATCACTCACTTCTGCCTGTATTCTGGCACTAATACTGCAACATGTGACTCCACTATCATTGTTAAAGGAACACGTCTATCTCTTATCATCCCCTTCTTTTTCAAAGTTCTTATATAATCGTAAAGTAAAATGCACTTGAACTGATTACACTATTGCACTTATGAAGAATTTCAATCAAGTTTTCAACCTCATTATGCACCAAATTGTCCTGATAAATATCTTAAAAGCTCTCTTTCTCCTGCTAATTCTTGTCTGTTTTCCATTCTAATCCTTCTTGATCTGAGTATGAGCTTCAATACATCAGTCATTCAATCCTATTTGAGAGACAATACCCACAGTTTGCATTTCCTGTACACCTTTACACTGGTTCAAATAATATATCTCAGGCACCACTAAGTTCATTCAAATTGAGTCTGTCAGTGCTACCTCTTCTCTACAGATTTGCCAGAAGATTCAGTCCATGCTCCGTTCTTTCATGTCCTGTGACCAACAAAATATAATTTCTCCCTCACTGTTAAAAAGCTGTTCAAAAACCCAGCTCCTTAGATTAACCTGTACCTCTTTTCTTATTCTGGTTTCTTGTTTTTTCAGTCTCTATTTTGTTCTTAATTAGAGGTGAAGTTTGATTTTAAATGTATCTTGGATTTTCACCCTATGGTGTCCTTGGGTGACCAAAAAGGTGCTCCTAAGAAAATTGTATTATTATTATTACTGTTTGTCTCATTTTTAGAATTATTATGGTCATTCTGGCTTCTTAAAAACATTTTTTTCTAGGATAATTCCCATGTGTGTCCTCTCAGATATCCCAAAATAGATTTCACTCCTTAATGAGCATGCAGAGACTCTGGACTATCGCTTGTATTATGTTGTCATACCAAACATGAAAATCGTATCGTTCTAAGGGTAATTTCACCTTCAACAAGAAAAAATACTAAAGAACCTTGAGAACAAAAGGTTAATCTCTGGACACTGGACTAGTAAAAAAACAACAACATTCTATTAAACAGCTATACAACAAAAATATTCTCAATGCACTCTTAAAAACAAACCAAATTAGTTTATGAAGTTATATAATTTGTTCATTTTCAGACATCATGTGAATTCAGTAACCGTTAGATTGCAGAAATATAACTGTCATCATCTTCAGCGGGTTGGTAAAACGTTTGTGTTTGTTAACTTACCTGATGAAGAGAAATGGTTCAGCTGAACTTTTCTGAAATTTTCTTAGCTTCTGTAAGCCCTAGGCTGTGCCCTGGTGTAAATGATCTCCTCCTATCAACACTCAAGTAACCCCCCTCAAAGTCCCGCCCTTGAGTCCATAGCAGCAATGTAGCGAGACATCAAACATAGATCGTATCTGCTCTCACAATGAACTATCTGCTGAACCAGATGCAGAAGATGAAAATCTGAGATATGCGTCTTTTAACCATTCTGAAAACATTGCTGCTAAGCGTGACAAATTTAAGCACTCAGCAAAAAAGTCTTAAATCAGTTTCAGGCTGAAACTGATTTAAGACAGCGGATATGAAGCACCTGTTGTTGATCATAAAGTTTATAAAAGAAAACATGCAACAGCAAGATTTTACTGACAGTTAAAGGCACACTATGCAACATTTCAGGTTGGACAAATGTATTCTCGGCCGCCCTGGTGGTCTGTGGGGGAAATACCGCACTTGCAATTGCAGGAGCCCTCGGCCCGCACCCACAGGCTCAGAAGTCTCGCGAGAGTCGGTCTTGCTTAACGGCGAGAACTGCTACACGCCCCCAGTTAAAAACATGCTCGTTGCTAGCACAGTGGCGATCTTTGTGCAGTTATCATGGCGGAACCAGCGTGAAAACAGCGAAAGCCCATGTCGGAGCAGGCAAGAAAGAGGAAATGGGCTCCGGACAGAGAGAGGAGTCGTGATCCAAACCTCCAGTTTGAATCCCCAGAAGAGCCGGAGGGCTGAGAGAGGCGGAAGTCCCTAATGAGGGAGGGGTCCAAAATAAATGATCCAGGGACCCAGGAACGATCCTCAGGACCATAACCATCCCAATTGACGAGGTATTGCCATCCACGCCCACGGCGACGAGCATCAACAATACGGCGGACGGTGTAGTCGGGGTGGCCATCAATGTCCAAGGGGGAAGGGGGCTCAACGGGTGGGCACAAGGGGGGCTTCAATGAGACTGGCTTGACTTGAGACACATGGAAGGTGGGATGAACGCGGAGAGAGGAGGGGAGATGGAGACGGACGGCAGATTCCCCTATGGTCCTCTCTACCTCATATGGACCAATGAACCTGGGGGACATCTTCTTAGACATGGATTTTAGGGGAATGTCACGTGTTGAGAGCCAGACCTTCTGGCCCAGGCGATAGGATGGGGCAACCCTCCTCCTGTGGTTAGCCCATCTCTGGTTTTGCTCGGAGGTCCTTCCCAGAGCCGTCAAGGCCCGGTTCCAGAAGGTCCGGCAACGGCGAATGTGGTGCTGAACAGATGGTACGGCAATGGCTGCCTCTTCGGCCGTAAAAGGGGTGGCAGGTACCTAATCGAAGCCTCAAATGGGGATAGTCCAGTAGCAGAGGAGATGCTTGTGTTATGGGCTTAATCTGCAGGTGTGTGAGAGGACCAATGGGAACCAGGCGCCACCTGGTGGTGGAGGGAAAACAAACAAAAACACAACCCACACAGACTGGATTGCTAACATGAACATGCTCTTGTTCTAATGCCAGTTTGTTTCAGCCTTATCCAGTCTCATGTAGAAGGCCTGGTCATATCACAGGTTATTTGCATTACAATACGGACAGTTAGCAAGGTAGAGTGAATACACAAACATAAAGAGGGGAGAGGGGCTTGCAGGAAAACTGGAATTCTCTGGGATTTCTAGTGCTAAAGGACTAATGGACAAATGGAATATGAGTGGTATATGCTGTTCAGTGCAGCGAGGAATGCTCTGATCATTATACTGGAGTAACCAAACAACATTTCCACAGAAGCATGGCCCAACACAGAAGAGCGGCCTCCTCTGGACAAGACTCTGCAGTACATCTACACCTTGTGGACAAAAGACATTCTTTTGAGGACCAGAATGTTCACATTTTGGATAAAGAAAATAGGTGGTTTGAGAGGGGCGTGAAGGAAGCCATCTATGTGAAGAGAGAAAAAACAACTTTAAACAGAGGTGGTCGACTCAGATTCCAGCTTCCAAAAACTTACAATTCAGTTATAGAGATGATCCCTTCCAGGTATCACCACAACCCCCACCCCGTCACAGAGGAATAAGTTCCCCCTCTCTTCAACCAGGTGAATAATCCCTCCTTTGACAACTGACCCTTCACAATCATAGACAGGTTTCAGATATTACAGGCTAACAATGGAACCAAACGACCCGCTCGTCGGTTTCAATTTGCATGTTTCCAAGCAATACAAGGCCTTTTCTATATAAAGCCTCAAACTCAATGCGGATCCAGACATTTGAATTGAGAAAGCTTCCTGGAGGGAAAGCGGAACGTCTTCAGACCTTGGAAACCAAGTCCAGTGGATTGTTTTTAAACTTTTACGGAATGACTATGACCTGGATGAGTGAGAATCTTCATTAGCTTAAATGACTAACATCCAAGCAGGATCTAGAAAAAAAAAATGCATTTATCTTTATTAGAAGTGACCACTGTATCAGTGTTTTCACAGGTTTGCCAAAAACTCACTCAGACAGCTGCAGCTTAGACTTAGACAACTTTTATTGTCATTTTGTATACACACACTGTATACAAAATTAAATTATGTTGCTTACAGCTTACAGTTGTGAAGTGTTACATTAATGTTACATTAATTAAACATTACTATTGTAAAGTGGAGCAGTGATCATCATGTAAACAGTATAGGAGAAAAGAAAAAACAGTAAAAAAAAAAAAAAATAATAATAACGGTGCTGATCCAAAATATATATATATACACTATACTATACAATAGGGGTGGAACGGTTCACAAAATCCACGGTTCAGTTCGATTCACGGTTTCGTGGTCACGGTTTTCAGTTCGGTTCGATTCGGTATATGTTGATTGTTACACCGAAATCCCATAAAAAATCATGAAATTAATGAAAAAATCCCCCAAAAAATAATGGATTGTAATTATTTTAAATGATCCGCGNAAAAAAGTACTCCAGAGTGTTGTTCAGCATGGGGGTGAGTAGAAAATGAAGGCTAATCATGTTTTGGGTGTACTATTCCTTTAAGAGATTTAAACAATAACATTTCCAAACATTTAAACTAAGATATTTCACAAATCAATGCGAAAAATAATCTAAGCTTTAAGTGGAACATTAATGAGATAACCTGCTGGTTTAAAGTCACTGCCTAAGTTAAGTTGCTGTGAAAATACAATAAAAATTTTGAAGGTTATGCTTTTATTGGATTTAAAAGCAATCCTTGAATTAAAGGAGAAGGATGAGGATAAACCCGAAGCTACACGACTAAAGCTAAATCATGTCGTGCTGCTGAAATCTGATTTCTGCTCAGGAGAAGCTGCCTGTCAGATGAAGTAAACAGGAGCATCAGACGCTTTATTTCCTGTGTGAGCCGTCATCGCTGTGACCTCGCTACACTGACCACCAGCAGTGTGATCTCAGCTGTTCCTGCATGAAAAGTAACATGAGAGTGAGGTGTGGGGGGGTTGCCTTCCTGCATATTACCTGGCTCCGTGTGGAGTGTCTGTTCTCGTCCTGCCGGTGCGACAGCGCCCTTTCCTCGGCCTGCTTGTCTCGTGTCGTCGCTTTGCCCTGTCAAACAAATCAACACTGTCTGGAGCCCCGCAGCAAAAAAAACCAACAACAGCCTCCTCCTCGTTTCTACAGCATGACAATTTCTATTTGCTTCTGATGCTTTTCTTCACATGAACTCATTGGACATCTTCTTGTAAAACTATTCCCACCCTTTAAACATTTCTGCACAACCACAGAATTCATCGTAAACAGACAAAGTAAATGTTTTCTTTTCTTTTTTTAATTGAGCTCCCTCGATAAATTAATAGTTTAGTTTATTTTCCTCGGGACGGAAAAGAAAGATTGTCACATTTAAAGAGAGGATGGATGGAGCTAGGGCTGAAACAATTAATCAGATTAATCTAGTCAACTCATTTAGCAATCGGTTAATCGTTACCTGGAGATTAGAAACTCTAAAACATGGCTTTAGTTGACAGTGCGAACCGCTTAGAGCTAACCTGACTCCGCCAGATGGATTTGCTCCGCTTATATCCATCTGGAAACCTTCCGTTGAAGTAATTTTGGGAAGGGGCG